CTATTGTTCGGGACGAACAATACTAAGGAAGGGGCAGTGTTACAACAGCAGAAGTCACGCGACGCTGGAAGCATGTGCGCTGGAGTTTCTAGAAGGATCATGTCTCTTCCTGACAACTCTAGTCTTTTCTACTCTCCCTCTATTTTAGTATATAAGCAGGCAAATAAAGTGAGATAATTAATTTAATTGCAGACAGGCAGAGATAGAGACGGACAATTGAGTCTAGCACGGTAGTGACCATAAGTAAAGTGCATGAATCTTTGTGAATTATGGCATGTGTTTAAGTTAAAGTGACTGTGGATATTAAGTGTATTGCAAAGTTATATTGAGAAAGAATAAGCTAGTTTTATTTAAGAAAGGACTTGTATTGCTGAAGTTTCTCGGAAAGAATTTCTACAGAAAATTAACAAACGAACATAACGAGATGTAACAGTATCAAGTTTTGGCCAGCACACATTTGTTTTGGCAAGTTTTGAGCTTTGTATTGTAATTGTTTGAAAGCTTCATTTTGTATTTCTGTGGTTTTTGAAGTTCAATTAATTTAATTTTTTGTGTTTCAACCCTGGTTGTAGCAGGTGTTTGTTTTTTAGACTGTTACAACATATATTATGTGATACAAAATAAATCAGTGTACATGTAAAGTAACATATTGAAAAAAATTGTAAAGTGATATTCTTATTAAGGTATTGTAAATTATAAACTTCCCGTTTTTAAAATTCAGTTCCAGATTAGTTGGCAAGGCTGAATCAACCAGTTGTACTAAAAATATTTTTGTTTATGGATTGGACTACACTGTTAAATTAATTTCGTTATTAGTATGTTTTTAACCCTCATTAGGCTACTGATCCTGATACAGTCAGCAGTATCACATATGTTATTAAGGAAGGAAATGCTTCTCTCTTTGCTGTTGATCCAGTTACGGGTATTGTTCGCACAGTATATGCATTGGACTTTGAGTTGCAGCAAGAACATACCTTAGTAATTGGCACCTTGGAGAATACAACACCTGAACTTCAAGCTACTTGTAGTGTTAAAGTTTCTGTGCAGGTAAGCTTTGCAAATCCTTTTGAAGATGTAAATTGATTTATGCTTATTATTCTTAGAATTCATGTCAGTGTTTCCAAATATCCAATTTATTGAATGAAACAGAACTACAGTGCTCAAAATACATAAGAGATAATCTTTATTTAAGCTATGATATGCACATCTACTGTTATCAAATAATGTCAATGGCACCCTTGGATTCCCATTTATGCAAAATAAATGTAAGATGGACTGTCATCTCTTCTGGCATGTACATTTAAGTTATATATAGAAGTGAAAAAAATAATACATTGTGTTTTCACTTAGCACTTGGAACAACAATAGTGTGTGTGTGTGTGTATGTGTAAAGTGATCTAGTGAAAATCAAACATACTAGTTCTCAAACAAAGACAAATTGATACTTCCATGATAGGTGTGAAAAGCAAGAGGCTGACTAGAGGCTACTAAAACATTATAATTCATAACAGAGTGCTTACAACTTTTACAAAGTGTGGTTAATATGATATTGACTTACTTTCAGACCACCAATGCAGTTGACCAGGGACCAGCACAAGATGACTGTTTTAAACAACCTTGAAAGATGACTGCTGTTTAACAGTATGAGCTCAAAGCAACAAATGAACCTCATCTGCCTAACTGGCCTTTGTGCCAGATGATTAGTGGTGTGGTATTTCTAACTTATCACTACAAAACATCCAATGTTCAATAGTGTCAGTAACTTTAAGATTAGTCAAATGACATATGGGTGAATATATTTCTTGCTGATGAATTACTCTGTCATATTTTTAGCTAGATATAAAATTGTACACATTTGGAGAGTATTCATGATCCATCCTCCATTTCTCAGAGGAAAGACATGCATATGGTAGTTGTACCATACTGATTTGTGCATGGCTCAGTATTGGTTACCACACCAGTCATGTGCTATAACAATGTGCTATGAATGCCATACAATATAGTGATTCAGTCTTATAACTGTTAGTGTTACCATATGATGGTGAAGTTGGACAGTACCAGGTTGGTTCATGTGATCACTTTGAACCAATCACATTTTTTTAATTTGTTTGTTCCTCATACTTGCTTTGTGATGTTTCTTCCCCCACAAACTATTGGCAAAATATCAATGATCCCCACATCAATTTATGGATGAATGGGGTCTCCTACTGACTTCTACTTTGGTCAGATTGACTGCTTGTGTTCCTTTTGTAGAGATACCTTGGTGATGGGACTTTGTCTACCTGTTTTTTTGATAGTGATGGTAATATACAAATATATATATATATATATATATATATGATTGTGAGTGACAAGGACTGCCTTGACTCATAAACAGCTGTAGCCAAAAAAAATTGCCAACTTCATGTCTCTGTTATAAATTTAACTATTTTATTACCTTTTGAACTGACACTTATACAACACATGTAAGCAGTTGAAGTTAGCTATCTATTGTTTACCTGTACAGTAAACAGACACCATGTTGTAATTACGATATGAATGTAAAATTAAAGTTCAAATTTTCTTTCATAAAAAAAAGTTAAAAATTGCAATATGTGATTTTCATGAAGTCTAAGGCAGCACCTGAATGATTACAATATTTGTAGATTTTACAATTTTGGCTGTATAGAGTGAGGCATAAAATACAAGCTAGTTTCAAAATAAAGATAAATGCATTTTACTCATGATTTGTAGTAATTTCAAACATGGTACTTACCTCCTTTCACAAGATTAGCTATTTTCATTCAGTGCTGCCCTCTATTTGCGATTATTTCTTTATGCATGCCACAAGCCTTCTGCTCTGGTCTCTCATGTAAATAATCAAGAGTCATCTCTTAACCAATAGTAGCATGATATGCTCACTTGACTCATGTGACTCCCTCTACACTCCTCTATCAATCCTTGACTTCTCATTTGGCAGCATTTGAGTTAAGACATACTCTTTTGTGTGCCTAGTGCTTTGAATGTGACAAACAATTTATTTTTCGTGCAAAGTGGTTCCTTTTTTATTTTATTTTCGTTTATACCAGTTTATTCTTGTCGCTATATTTCTGCACCCGAATTTTGTGTACCTTTTCTTGTGCTATGAATTCCAAAGTTCATGTTACCACTTCAGGGATCACACCAGTGACCAGTGTTTTTTCTCAGGCCTCAAGTGTGGGCGAACCTGTGTGGATCTCTCTGCTTTTATGCTTCAAGAGATTGAACATTACATGGGTCAACCTTTGTCCATAGACATTGCTTAGGCTCTTCCAGAGTGGCTGAAATTGTTAAGGATGACAAGAACTTTGATTGTCTTTTCCCACCTCCGGAGTTTGCTGTTCCTTCCCATTTGCAGCCTGAGGAATCACTTAGGCCTAATTCGGTATTTATGGATTTTGTGAGGTGTTATCCCTTTCCCCTATCTCTTCTTCACCTCATCCTTCCTTGTTACATGAACAAGCTACCCAATAATTTTGGTTTGTTCCCTGATATTAGGGTAAATGCGGACCAATCAGTCTTACAATTAAGTGAGAGGATCTGCAGGCCGTGTCCCTTGAGGACTTCGGATCAGTTTGCCCTTTCTTACCATCATGCGGACTGTTTTTAGATCAGCAGTTGTTAGGTTCATTATTACCTACTTGGGAGGCAGCTCCTGAATCAAATGTTAGTCTTACCCATACCCAGTATTCAGCATCTTACCCTAACCAACCTATTATGGTATCTTTCGTCAATACATCTCCTATCAGAGGCTCTCCACAGAAATCCTAAGGGGGTTTTATGCAGATACATTTACACTTCTCTCCTCCACTTTAGCCCACATTTCATTTTTGGCTATGGCATTACATACGTGGTTTCTTTGTTATTCGGATTTTATAGGTCAGAACATAGTTTTGGCTCAGGTCAATTTACCCTCAACATATCTCGGAGATTTAAGTCTTGTACCTTTTCTCAGATGTTAGGTCTTTAATACAGTCCCAGAAACTATCAAGCCTGGACATTGGTCCACCAGCAATCAATCCTTATGACTCTTCTAGCCTGTCTGTCTTTGTCAGAGCCTCATATGCTACTTATTACCATCCTTTATCCTCCAAACCCTTACCTGTTCCTTCTAATTGGGGTACTTCTCGTCAATATCCTCGACAACATAACCACCTCGGCACCAGTACTGATGAATACCCTGTGGGTTTGGGTCCAGTGGAAGCTCAGCTATTAAAGTTTTTTCCTTGTTGGTGCCCCTATCAATGATCAATGAGTGATGTGGGTTCTATCAGAAAGCTTCGTTATCCAGTTTCCTTCCCTACTCCCTGTTTCTCCTTGCCATGTTTCCTTCCATTCTCCTTGAGATACCGTGACATGCCAGCATCTGTCACAGGTGGTTCGAGAATTGCTATTACAGTGGACAATCGAAACAGTTTACCATACCTCTGGGTTTTTTATTCCTGTCTTTTCATTGTTGCCAAGAAAACTGGTGATTGCCGCCGGTCATTAAGTTATCTCCCTCAACAGCTTCCTTGCACTTCCCAAGTTCACCATGGAGTCTTTTCTCACCCTGAGATGGGTTTTTCCCAAGAGTTATGGATGACAAAAATGGATGTCTCCAATGCTTACCTACACATCCTGATATCACATCAATCTCGACCTTACCTTTGGTTTGTCCAACTCGGGGTGGTTTACCAATTTCAGCTTTCCTCTTCAGACTTGACTCGGCTGCTTATATCTTTTGTCTCAGTAGTCCAGGCTATTGCAAGTGATCCATGCTCTGGGGATGCAATTTCATTATTACATGGATGAGTGGCTCTTTCTGGCTTATTCTGAGCAGGAATTGGCCACTCATACTCACCAACTCCTTTCTGTTGTGACTCTGGTGGACTGGTTGATCAAATTGTAGAAGTCATTCCTTTTACCCACTCAATATCTAGTCCATTTGTGGGTATTTTTCGACGAATATCAGTCAAGTTTTTGCCTTCTTCTTTATGTCTTTGTTCAATGGAACTTGTAGTTCATCATGCCTTCTCGGCTCAGTCACTTACTGTTCGTGAGGGTCTATTGCTTTAGGGGATATGGTCCTCCGTGAATGTACTGGTCCCTCTCGGTCGTGCTGTTCTTAGACATTGCTTTAAGAAATGCAAGTAACATAGGTTTGGCATTACTGGGATTTCCTTCAAGTCAAACTATAAATTTGTTGCAGAAGCAATATTAATTGGATTAGACTTGTATTAGCGAGACCCTTAATATCATGTATGGTAGCCAGTACATGTAAAGCCATTGTCTAGACTTTAGCTGTCAGCTTAATTGAATCTTAGCTTGTGTGGTCTGCTATGGAATTCAAACAATGTGAAAGACTTCTCATGTATTCAAATTTGATGATGACAAAACCTTGTCGAAACGTTGTACATTTGCTGTCATGTTAAA